AGAGAGAGCAGAACTATGTAGAAAATAATAGAACAATGAAAGAGATGGAATATACAATGAATGGCTCCCTTTTTTTTACTTCGGCTAGTCTCTCTATTTATATAGACTTTCTGGAATATCTTCGTGTTCGTTTAGGAAAGTGAATATTTATTAAGTAAGAAATCTTTTGGAGATAGGAAACTGTTTCGGCTTTATATTTCTTCCCAATTAGGACTCTCCCAGTGTCTAAATAGGATTTAAACTTTATTGGTACATCAGAAAAGCATCTCATGCAGGTCCATGCAAGCGGTATGGGCTGGAACTGACATTCTCAGCCCAATGCAAAAATCTTGTCTTCAGCACGGGCGTGCTATCTGGCACGGCTTGGGTACGGTCATTTCTGTATTTTTGGCTAGTTTTCTATAAAAAATCCTATAAAATTCCTTAAGATCAAGTGAAATATGGTTCAAGAAAGCTTTGAACAAAAACATAAATAATACTAAATAAAAACTAATTAAAGTAATTAAAAAACCTAATAAAAATTATATTAAAAATAATATAAAAATAACACCTATCAGCCGTGATAAAACTATTGCGGGTTTGGAGGCTCTTTTCTATTGGCCACAGTTAAGAGGAAGCAGGGTGATAAAACTATTGCGGGTTTGGAGGCTCTTTTCTATTGGCCACAGTTAAGAGGAAGCAGGAAAGTTAGTACAAAAATGTTCCGTTTGCCAGACACAAAAGGGCCATTCTCAAAACACTGGTCTTTACACTCCATTGATTGTATCGGAACAACCTTGGAAGGACTTATCCATGGATTTTGTGTTGGGTTTACCTCGAACTCAACGCGGAGCTGACTCTATTTTTTTTCGTTGCAGACAGGTTCGCCAAGATGGTACACTTTATCTCTTGCAAGCAAACTAATGATGCCTGACACATAGCAAAGTTATTTTTTCAGAAGATTGTTCGTTTGCATGGGATTTCCAAAACTATCACATCTGACCGAGACACAAAGTTTCTACCTCACTTTTGGACAACTTTATGGAAGAGATTCAACACTCAACTTCACTGTAGCAACACCGCTCACCCCTAAACTGATGGACAAACTGAAGTGGCGAACCGGACTCTTGGTAATCTTCTTAGGTGCATTTGCAGTGAGAAGAAGAAGATGTGAGATCTTGCTCTTGCCCAAGCAGAATTTGCATACAATAGTGCTATCCATTACTCCACCAAGATGTCTTGTCACGCCCGACTTTAATCACTAGAGGAATTGTCCGCTTTGGATCAAGCTGAATCCCCCATACAAGATTGGCAGGATCCGCACGGTTTTATCCTACAGATGAAATGGGAAACTTCCCGGGACATTACCCATCCTAGGATTTCTGTTAAGCGAGCACGCTTAACCCTAGAGTTCTTCCAACTCTCCAGCCATTCCACCAAAAGGCACCTCTAATGATTAGTTTACCAAAAGGCACCTCTAATGATTAGTTTCCCCCTTTTCGATATATGATTCGATTCATTCCTATGTCCCACATTCCACTACCCCAGCTAGCCTGCCATCCTAGAAGTTAGCCAGGAGCTTCACTCTACTCGCCCTCTTAGGATCGCTTTGCCGAGCCGGGATGTCACATGTCTCCGTCTGTAATTGTTTACCGGAAGGTACCAACCCATACCCTTGTTCTTCTTTCCCTTCAAGCAGATGTAGAAAAGAGCATTGCAACTAATAACTTGGCTATCGAGCACGCGGAGGTATTCAAGCAAATGCAACAATTCATCACTACTGCCAATGAAAAATATTAAGCTGCAGCTGATAAACACCGACATTATAAATCTTTTACTGTTGGTGATAGGGTCATGGTTTATCTTCGCAAGGAGCATGGCAGAGGACAGAAGAAGCTTGACTCGAAAAAGATTGGCCTATTTCAGATACTCAGGAAGATTAATGATAATGCCTATGTACTTGACCTTCCCAAAGATATGAAGATTTCTTGGACCTTCAGTATTGCTGATTTCTTTCCTTTCTACTCCGATTATGATCACTCGAGGTCCAGTTCTTTTGAAGTGGAGGGGATTGATGCGGAGCAACTGGCACTTAAGTATATGGAAGACTTGGATCGCTGCAAATTCAAGAAGAAGGAGTACGGTCGTGCTATATCCAGCACGCCCGTTCCAGACTCTAAAAGTCCAGGACGCGAGACACGCCCAAGACAAGAAGCACAGGCATGCCTGTGCCACAGCTAGCCTGCCCATGCTAACCCTTGGAAGCCCTAGCACGCCTGTGCCATGTCTAACATGCCCGTGCTGATGAGTCCATGAAGATTTAAGTTCCAACACACCCGTGTCTAGTCAGGCATGCCCTGTGCTAGCCCCTGAGAGTTCAAGCACGCCCGTGCCGCCGCCCTTACTAGGGTTTTGTCTAGTTAAGTTTTTTGTGTTATTTTAGGGTTTTAATGTTTTAAACCTAAATCTATAAATAGGTTATTTTGTATTATGAACAAATTCATTAATCTTTGATCATTATTCATATCAATAAACCTCTTTGTGATCTTAGTTCTCTATTTTATTTGTCAGATCAAACGCCATTGATCACAACTCCTGACGGAGTATAAACGTCTATTCCCGTTCACGTAACCATTCTGCGTCACATGTGGTGCTATCCTTCGGGACTCATATGGACAGTTTCTTGCTAGGTTTTCTACATGGTTTATTGGGTATTTTGCTCCTGAAACTGCAGAAGCTATCGTTATTCGGGAAGCCCTTAGTTGGCTAAAATAAGAATGGTTTTCATGAGGTTGATTTGGAAGTGGATTGTAGGGAAGTATGGCAAAGTCTTGCTTCTCCAAACATCCCTAACAATGAGTATGATAACCTTATTTGAGATTGTTAAGTTCTTTTAAATGAGGGCATTGGTCTTGTTGCTAGATGGATGCGTCGACAAGTAATATGGTGGCCCACTTTTTAGCTAGGATTGCTATTTCTCACGCTTGTCCTACTATTTGGAGGAATGTTCCTCCTTTTCTTGTTGATTTCAATTTCAGGTTTTTTCACTTAACATTTGAATCCTAGTTTTGGGTGTATGGGATAGATTCAGCGTTGTACGCAAAAAATTCCATGAGGGGTACACTTAGGATATATAGTTTATAGAAATAATATATAAAATAAATATAAATAATGAGAATTCTTTACAAAAAGCAAATAAACTGTTATAATTAAATTTCAATAAACCTAGTCAATTTTTCATTAACTGAAATATATACTAATTTCATTGTCAATATTTATAAATACATCTGTTTCAATATAAGTAACTAAACAATCATTCAGTAGTTCCTCCCTCATTTTATTATGAAGTAAACTTTTTAATAGTTTGTCATTAGATACAATTAAAAATTCATATTATCTCTTGCAAAATTAATTAATTTGTTAAATACTACAATAGGATGAATACAATATTGAATATCCAAAATTAATTTGTTAAACCGCCTAAATTACATGTATTTTTCTTTTAAAAAAAATGAAAAGCATTAGATTGAATAATGTATTAGTTAGTCTCTAAAGACATCCAAAAACTCCATGTATATAATTAAGTATATAGTTATGATTTTAAATAAAACCAATGGGAAAAATTCAAAATTAATGATAACTAGTACTATGTATAAAAATAAATTTAAAATCTTAGTTGGGTTAAAATAACAAAAGGAAGATTAATTTGTGGGTTAATTATAGATAAAAGTTTTAGAGAATTGAAAGTCTCGTGTCAAAAACTCATCATTTTCACCAGAAGCAAATTTCTTCAATTCACAAGGAATGAGAAGGAACTAAATACCATGTGATTGCAAACTCCAAACACTAATAAAGGTGACTAAAATGCGGATGAAAATTAATAAATTTACAATGAGTATTAAGTAATTAGAGTAAAAATTAAGAAAAAAAACAAAGTCACAAAAGATTCGTCAACTGAAAAATGTTTAACCTTTTAGATAAAATATTACCAAAATATCAATTTTTTCAAAAAAAAAAAAATTAGGGGGGCCCATTGCCGCCTTGCCCTATACTGGGTCCGTCTATGAATAGACCTATTAATCTGGGTTAGTTAGTTTGGATCTTCTTACTCAATTTTTCCTGGATTATTAATAAATTTTAAATTTCAACAAAAAAAAAAAAAAATTAAACAATATGAAGCTCTTTAGTTCAAAAATAAAACTAGGTGTAAACGATCCAAAAAAAAAAAAAAAAAATATGAAGCTCTTAGTTCAAAAATAAAAACTAGGTGTAAAACGAGTCCAAATATACTCCATACTTCATAAGTTTGGCCATGCAACAACGTATCCTTGCTGTCAATACAGCTATAAAAAGTCGACAATCAGTTTCTTTTTCTTTTTTTCTTTTTTAATATGAGCATAATATAAGCAAAACTACAGAATTGACTAAAATATATAAAGTAAATAAAAATATGATATTTGATTTTATTTGATTAGAGATTTTAGATCTACAGATATGAATCTTCAATTGAAAAAACCTGGTACTATGATTTATTCCTTTATTGATACTATTGATAAAAACTTATCTGTATCGTTATATTTTGTAAGATCAAGATTCGAAAAAATTATTTTGCCTTTCAAATCAATCAATGGATTAATTGTTACTATATACATTGATTATTCTCCAACGGAAAATCTTTTAATTGTAGTTTGTTATTCAAAAGAATATAAATTTTTATTAGCTAAGTTTTATAATTGATTTATATGAATGTTTATAATACTTGATATTATTATTAATGGATTATATTTGAAAAATAATTATTTTATTTATATTAATATTTGATAATAATAATAGTAAAATATTTGTTAAAAGAGATGCATATTAAATAAAGATTTTTTTCCTCAAAAGGAAATATTTTTTTATAATTTAAAGTAAATGAAAAAGGAAAGTGGGTGAGGAATAGCATTTTAATCTCAAAATTTTCCAACTCTCGCTGGCACCACCACCACCATACCATGTCTCTTTTTTTTTGACTTTTGACCTGTTCCTTTTTCCTCACAGATGTATTAAGGAAACCAAATCACAAAAATAGGCAGGAATTATAATTCCTCAGAGCGAATTTATAATTCCTCTCTCTCTCCCTCTCTCTCTCTCTCTCTCTTTGTTAAGATGAGCAACATGCAAACAATGGACTTAGACAATGAACAAATCGCGGAGTTGCTAGGAATATTTCGTTCTTTCGATCGAAACAATGATGGGTATCTAACACAGCTTGAGTTAGGCTCACTGTTGCGATCATTAGGGTTCGAATCATGCCCTGAACAACTGGAAACCCTAATCCAAAATGCAGATACGAACAACAATGGTTTAATAGAGTTCTCAGAATTTGTAGCAACGGTGGTGCCGGAACTGTTACCGGAGAACTCACCGTACAGTGAAGAGCAGATTATAAGGTTTTTCAGAATGCTTGATAGAGACGGAAATGGGTTTATCACAGCAGCTGAGTTGGCTCATTCCATGGCTAAATTAGGGTATGCACTTACTGTGGAAGAGTTGACTGGAATGATCAGAGAGGCAGATACAGATGGAGACGGTATGATAAGTTTTCAAGAGTTCTCAGAGGCTATTGCTTTTGCTGCTTTTGATAATTATTCTTGGGTTTGATCTTTTGTCATCAATGTGTTTTCTTTTCTATCAATTGTGAGGGTTTAATTTGTGACTGTAAGATCTTAGGATTTACATTTCTTAGAATTGGATGGAAAATGATTCAGAAATTTTGATAGTCAGTTAGATCAGAATTATGAGAAAGTACCTATGCAGGTAATGGTTCCTCCCTAACCCTTTGATTGGATGAAGGTTATTTGGGAGGTGGTTTGGAGAGTTGGGTGTGGTAAAGTGTGGTTGATAAGATTTTTTTTATGGGTCCATTCTTCATGGGTTAAAACATTTTGTATTCTAAAATTGTCCATTGTCATATTCTAAAATTTCAAATTTATACTTATTATTTATATTCTAATTTTATTATTTGATTTTTTTTTTTATATGTTCTTTTTGTTTCCTTTACCTCTGCTTCTGCTAATTCGTTGCCAATCAAAATATTAATATATAAATAATTTATACTATTATAAAATATATTATTATTGTTTAAATTTTAATAAATTTTTATTGATATCCTTAAAAATGTAGTTTAAAACGAAATGAATTAATATGCATAAATCACAATTTCCTTCGAGAAGATAATTTCTTTTACGATAAGGGTATTTTTGTAATCTTAATATTTCTCATATCTTTAAGCAAAATCATACAAGATTGATTGAATATATAAATTTATTCTTCAACTTTGCAACTTTAACATATTGCTAAGGCTACACGTAAGTTGGGTTGGGTCGGATTTATTGATTTAAAGTACCTAATTTGTATGCGTGGATTAGTGATTTTTTTTACTCAACTCAACTCATTAAATACATGAATCCATGGGTTATAAATGGGTTGGATTGAGTACGGTTCAACATCTACCCGCAGTCAAATAAACAATAATAATAATAACAATATTTTTAAATAAAATATAATTATTTAAGAGGAATTACTAAAAAGATTAAATATATTTAAAACTTAATCATACAATAATTGAGTCAAACTATAAATATATACCAATAACAATATTAAAATTAAAATTTTTAATATAATTATTATTATCATCATCATAATCAAGAATGAAAAATTAAATTTCCTAATACAACCAGTGAAATCAAAAAAAAAAAAAAAATTAGTGACATAAGTATACAATAAATTTTAGACTATAATAGATTCCAATAGCAACAATTCAAAACAAGTTTATATATTAAAAAAAAAGCAATTAAAAGGCAATATTTTCTAAATATGTAAATAATTTAATATTTATATTCAAAATTGCAAATCAAATCAAATTAACTAGATAATTCATAATCACACACACTTATTTATTTATTTGACATTATTTATAGGTTGGGTTGGGTCTGTAGATTTATCTAGTAAATCTGTTACCCGACTCATGAATTATAAAGATGATCTGCTCAATCTAACCTATTATATCTTCAAACCCGTTGGGTTGGGTTAGATCACTGGGGTTGGGTTGAGTTAAAACGGCTCATGTATAGCCCTACATGTGGCACCCTAAACTTTGATGCACTTAAACTTGTAAATTTTGATAATACTAAACACATTTCGAGCTTAATATCAATAATTTTTAGCTTTTGAACGTTTATTTGTAAAATATCGACTTGATATGTAGTAACATAACTTTTGAAACAATAATTTTCATAAATTTCAAATTTTTAATGAGTGCTTAATTGATCTAATTTTGTAAGTTAAAATGTCTAATAAAATAATTTTGAAAATTAAAGTGTTTAATAGATGTACTTTTATAAGATGAAGTATTTGATGGGTCAAAGTAAAAGCTAGGACCTACAAGATTAAATTAAAAAAGTTAAGGGGTGAATTTATGTATTCGGTCGTACAAGATTATTAAATCTTAATTAACCTTGCTTTCAATCCAAACACAAAAAAAGCAAACTTATTATTTTGTCCCTGATTTTTTACCAAATTAATTAAGTAGTCCAATTGTTTGGTAAAATATTTCAATCATCTCCAATGTTTACCTCGTTAGATTATATAGCCCTTCCATCATATTTAGAGGTTTTTTCTGTTAAAATACAAGAAAAAGTAAGAGAGAGGTGAGATGAATCTTTTAAAATAACAACTTTGTCCTTAATTACAAAATGGCATATTAAGAACAATTCAAAATATGTTTTTTAACGAACAAATCAAATAAAAAACATAAACAAGTATAATGACTAAAAAAATCTGTGAATTAATTTTTCAAATATAATTAATAATTTCCATTTATAGCTCAAGAAATTTAAAAAGACTAGTTAATGATTTGAAAATTAATTAAGGAAATTTCCTCCCAAAAAAAAATAATTAAGGAAATAAACAAATGGAACACCGTTCCAAGAGATTTAACTACTCAGGTTTGGAAAAAGATCTTTTATGTTATTCATTTAAAATTAATTATGATATTATAGAAAGTTACCCACCAAATACATTGTCATTACTGTAGTCTCTCGTTCATCTTCTCCAAGAGTTAGCTTACAAATTCTATTGCTACTGTTGAGGATGTTTTTTAATGAGATGGAAAGTGCAGTTAGCAGTTACTATTGGCAAAAGTAATTATGGGCAATCATCTAACAAATAAAATGAGAAGGAAAAGAGGTGAATAGAAAAGACATGCTTTAGGGCTTTTGATTTCCTTTAGAGGTCTGTTCAAGAGATGAGAAATAGTCACAGCTTCTTTTAGAGAGAAGAGTGCAGTTGATCACGAGAGAGGATTAGCACTTGTATTTGTCAAAATTAGGCTGAGCCAACTCTATTAACTCGCTAGGATCGAGGATCGACCCATGGTTGATGAAAATCAACCAATGTATAAGTATTCCTTGCAAAAGAGAAAGAGACAGAAGTCAAAACCCTAGAAAGAGAGACAAACAGGAACAAAGCCAGATGAGGGATGATAAATCTAGAGTATTAAAGTCTTTTTTTCTTATGTTTTAATGGTAAAAACCCATAAAATGGATAGAGCAACTATATAGTTCGACGGATGTAGAACTCAAGGATAATTTAGCAATTGCAGCTGATGTGATACTTTAGTACTTAAAAACCAGAGTCATTTAGCAATTGCAGCTGAATGGCAAAGGATAATGATGGAAGAACAGCCAATAACATCAACAAATTTAGCTGTGAAATGATAGTCATCCCTTCTGTTTTTTTTTCCCCCTGCTCAAAAATGGAAATAGTAGTTCATATTCAGACCTTCTATATGACTAGAATCTTGACAGCAGAATTATGTCATCAACAATTCAACTATTTCAGAAATGAAACATGGCAATAGTTTGTTTGTCAGGACACTAAAACAGTAGTCAATTACATAAATGAGACTTCAGAGCAAAAATCTATTGCAAAAAAAAAAAAAATGTTTAAACATGTTGCTAAACATTTTCATGCTAATGACAAAGATATTGTTTAAATGAGAAAGAAAGGTGTGGAGTTCTAGAATTTAGAAGGATAAATGGAGACAGGCAACAGCATTTTCATTATGCTTTCTTCTTTTTGGATTTAACCATCACAATTCCAACAAACACGCATAAGAAGCAGAAAAGCGCAACCCCAGCAACTAAAGGTATCAATATGGCAAATTCCAGTGGCAGGAAATACTGGTGGATAAAATGATCGCTGTCGACGAATGGCTGCATGACAAAAAGTGCATGTTAAAATAAAGTTTGCAAAGTGTAGGGATACAAAACCAAGACAATGAGAAGTTACTTACCAGAATAATAACCCAGAAAGTATAATAGGTGAAGATAGATAAACTTATAAATGATAAAAAAAATCCAACTGCTCTGTCAGCTAATTCCATGCTGGTTAGTGGCTGATAGAACCTGTGAAAAAACAAGTGTGAATAAATAACAACAACAAACTTCTCTAACAAGTGTGGCGAAATTAAAACGGCAAGAGAAAGGAGAAGGAAACAGAAAAGACAGAAACTGCATGCTAAAGCTTATAGATCAAGAAACCAGGAGGTAAATAATTGGAAAACAGGTGTGACTAAGGAAAACAATATCTTCAATGCCCATTTAAGCTGAATCATTTCTCCTTAAAGCTTCAATGCTTGTACTCAAAAATATGAGCCCTAAAATTTGTTGAGCATAAAAGAATCTATCAATTTTACTTTATGGGTCTTTCTACTACCAGAACACCAAATACATCCGAGTATGTTCTTTAGACTATCATTGTAAAGAGGAGCCTCTCAATTTGCATAAGCAATCATCAATCTAATAAAAAAAGGGGTAACTTAGGAGAGGAAAAACTTGGGACAACCATAAATTACACAACAACAGCCAAAAATTTGATCATCCACATAAATTTTGGCAAATAGGCTTTGCCTTACCAAGCCTGCCGCGTCCTGAAAGTGCCAATCAACGTCATCATTATCATTGTCAAACTAAAACAATAACCTGAGGTAATAAGTATAACCAACCCAATTTGCAGCCTGATGAAAAATTGGATTCTATTCAGCATTCAAACCCATAAATCAAAACAGGGATTAACAAAAATCGTAACTGAACAGGATTCATCAGTTCAAGAACAGCAATAAGATTTTAGTTTTCACTTTCTCCAGTACAGTTTACTTGAAGGAATGAAAAGTTCAACACCACACTAACCTACTGGTACACGAAACATTTCAAATTCGTTTTAACATAATAGAAAGAACCAAAAATCGAATATGATTAAAAATGATAAATAAGATTTGCGGTTAAACAATGTCAACTTTAATATCATTTGCATCTACAAACAACGAACAGAAACATTTAAAAGCAAGATAAGAAGGAGAAGAGTCTGTCTACTTCCGTGTTGCGAATGCTAAATAACAAGAAAAGAGCAAAATAAATATTCTCCGAGTAAAATTAGAGGTGAATTCTTATGGATAAAGGTGAATTCTTACCTTCAAATGTACGGATGGCTTTCTAGTTCTTGTTTGTAAAAGGATCCATCATCTATCAGCCAAGTGTTCTTCCGATCAGTTTCAAATTTCTATTTACGCTATGCGAAAAACAAGGATTTGATCGGATCGAGAAATTAGAATTAGGTGCTTCGGTTATATTTTTCAACGAGAATTTGGTTGCAGGCAATCACAGGAACAATTAAAAAGAAAAAGGTAAGTGAAATTGAGAAAAGACTAGGGTTAGAGTTACGAAGTGGGGGAAGAGAGAGTGCAATAAGAGGGGAGGGGAAAAAAAGAAAAAACAAAAAAGGGAAAAAATGTTCAATTAGCCCAGATTGCCCAAATGAACTTTTTAGCCAAATTCCTCGTAAATCAAAAATATATACTCCCTCGTTGCAAAGAAGGAAAATAATAATCCGAGTCCTAAATTTTGGCCTAATTAATGTTTAAGGGTACCAATTTTCAAAAATCAACTTCAAGGTCTTTAAATTTTAATCCCGCTAATAGAAAAGTCATTCCATTTAAAATCAATAATTTTTCCGTCCAATAATTATAGAATTTCGAAAATGCCCTCACTTGCAATATAAACTTTAACATTAGGTCTAGACCTCTAGACATCCACCAAAAAGGTCATTTGCTTCTCAACCAAGCACGTCTTTTTCCTCCCCATTTTCAACAATCAAATTCAATAGCTAAGCTCCACAGCCATCAATGGCAAATCAACGCCAACAAAGCATCACCATCTCTAAAATCTTCCCTTTAAATTTTAATTAAAACTCAAACTAAGAAACCTATAAAGACACTAGAATCCAAATATTGTCCTTTTTCAAATCCCATCAAATCCAAAACTTAATCTTAGATATTGAGAGAAAATTGAAGGAAACAAAGGAGGTTACAATAGCCACTACCGTCGTCGCCGGAGTTACTGAAAGTGCAATAAAATTGAGTTGATTGGAGATTTGGCTATCACACATAGTCACCGCCGTCGCCGCCAGAATTAGTGGAGAAAGGGGAAGATGGTGATAAAAAAAAAAAAGTGTTTGGTTGAGGGATTTGAGATTTGTTTACCTATTAGATTTACTTATTTTAGATTTATGGATTTTGAAATTTCCAGTTTTTTCTTACCTATTAGATTTACTTATTTTAGATTTATGGATTTTGAAATTTCCAGTTTTTTCTTCATCTCTCTCTCTCTCTCCTTTTATTTTGTTCTGCTTCATTTTGCTTAAACATTTTTTTACTTTTTTTGCAATGCTCGTTAGAGGAAAATACACAAACAAATGAGAAAATAAATATCCAATTATTTATTTTTTATCTTTTAAAAAAATTGTGCAGCAATGCTAGGCTTAGTAGTGCTGGTGCTTGTGGTGGCAACAATGACAGTAATTATTTGTATTCCAAGAAACTAAACAGTTCCAAAAGGAAGACCACAAGTTGTAGAACTAGAGAAGATTTACAGAGAGCAAGAAAAGAGGAGTGATATAGATGACCAAAAAATAAAGAATGATTTCTAAGCAAGGGTATTTTCAAAATTCCACGTCCATTGACGAAAAGAAGTGTTGATTTTAGACGGAAGGACATGTCTGTTAACGAAATTAAAATTTAGGGACCTTGAAGTTGGTTTTTAAAAATTGATATCATCAAGCGTTAAGTAGGCTAAAACTTAGGACCTAATTATTATTTTTCCCTCCCAAAATAATATAAATCATTTAAGAATTTTGCACAAGAATTAAAGAAACAATTAATTTTCTTAAATTATAACAAACTCAAGGGTAATTTGACCAAAGGATAATGGTTGTTGGCTCAAGTTGATCCAAGACAATTAAACATAAAATGTGTAGTTTATCCTCATATAGCCATGCAAAATGTCATTTGTGTCCCCCTGAAAATTGATAAATTTTAAAAAATTTTGAAATTTGAATTTCAAATTTGTATCCCTCTTTATTAAATAACCCTAGATAAAGTAGAAGTGGTTTACATTCCCCAATGCATATGATAGGCTTTTGTTTCACTATTATTAATTGTTTCCTTTTTATTTATTTTTTATTATATATATATATGGTGTCATGTTCTTTTCAAAATATATTTTTATATATTTTAATTTTATATGCAAATAATACAAATGTGTTATTCCAATTAGGGTTCATCAATACCCACGATGAATGTTATATATTAGTTGTATGGGTAAAAATGAATGGATAAAAGCTCTTAGCTTGGAAGCACATGTGCTAGTGATTTGACTTAGTTTTAGGGATTAGTCTTAGGATCAAATTCACCTATGTCATTTTTTTTATAAATTTGACGACATTGTTAATTTAAATAGAGATCAAATGACATGAATGCATATATATTTATCTAACTAAACATTAGTCTATTGTTAGTATTATAAAATTTTATTGGTTTTTTGCGTAAAATAAATAATGTAAGCTTACAAAATAAGTATATGTTCGCTCTGCCGCATGGCGGATTCAAATAACGAATTAACTCGTATTAACCACATAATTCGATTAGTTAATTGAAAATATTGAAAGTATAATACGTATAAGTCGTTTTAAAGCCAATTACAGTAGCAATGTAGATAGTGCGACATAGAAATTGAAAAGGCTAATTCAGTTGCTCAATGATAATTTGTTGGATAGCATAATTTAAATTGTATATATAGTATGCTCACCAAACTTATGTAATGGAAGATTATAGTAGATTTTTGAAAATTTTTTTAAATGGACAAATGATTTAATAGCACAATTTACTACTCATATAGTTTGAATGATTTAGATAAAAATAATGGTGTCATGTTTCTTTCATAATATATTTTTATATATTTTAATTTTGTATGAAAAATAATACAAATGTGTTATTCCAATTAGGGTTCATCAGTACTGAAACACTCCGAATTTTTATTTTTGAAACTTTTGAATTTTTATTTAATTAAAAATCGGGAATTTTGACCGTGTGGGCTGTAAATGTAATACAGTCTCAATTCGACAGTCCTCAATTCGAGCCGCAATTTTCAAATTGGGTTCCAAGCCCAAACAGATTATTCGGAATTTTCAATCCGAGAAGCATTTAATTTTTTTTTTTACAAATCAAAAATGAAACTCGGTTTACTAATCGATTATAAATGTATGTATAGGTATGTAATTATTATATAAATTAATTTATCCTAAAATCGAATAATCAATAATTGTTCATATTTTATTTAATATTGAGTAAATGGAGAAATGTTTAGAACCAAAAGAATCAAAATAAATTAAATCGGATTAAAAAACCAAGCAAATCGAACCGAATCATTTAATTGGACCAAACCGATTCGAATTGAATCGGAATAGAATAGTCTAGAAACCCAAAATTTCTTTTCTTCTTCTTTGTCCTTCTTCTCTAGCGTGGAACACAGCCTCCCCTCCCCTTTTCTTTTTTTTCGTTCACAGCCAACACCACCGCCATCGCCACCTACCGCTGCCGCCGCTCTCTCCACCTCCTCTGCTATTTCCGGCGAGCGCAGCTAGCGTAGTTTTCGCAGGAGAGCTGCGAATTCGCTCGATCGAGAATTCTGGTCTCTAATTCCTCGATCTCCAGCGACTTCAGTGCAAGCAGCCAGCTTCGGCCACTCTCTAGTCGACGGTGAAGCTCTAGCTCTCTTTCTCGCCGTTCTCTCTCTCTTCCTGTTTCGGCTGACGTAGCAATCGGGGGAAAAGCAATCGGGGGAAACTGCGACTGTGGTGGCGATTGGCATAGTCCCGTTACCTGTTTTCTTTGCACTTTCCGGCAAGACCAGCCACAAGCTGGCGAATTCGACTCTCCTCTCGTCGCCAGCTCTTCATCGCACGCCATGGCTGCCTTCCCCGGCCAAGTTGATGACGGCAGAACCAAACTTGGATTCCATAGGCAGGTAAAGTGATTGTTGACCCTTTTTCAGTAAATTTTTCATGAATTCATTGAGTATAGTTATAGGATTTGATGTGCTAATTGAATTACTGTAGAATAAAGCCTTAGATACTACTGCTCATATAAATATTTTAGAAAATTTAAATTAATTTCTTGCTAACTTTATTTGAAATATATTGTGTTGAATATGTTAGTGTGATTAAGGTAGTCTTAGTTTAAGAATGAGAGTAGCATGATAATCACATCAATTGTTATTTGCTAATACTTGGAGCTATTGCTTTATATACCTAGCTACTGATTAGGTGAACGTGAATAGCCAATTTTGAATTTTTGCTCTTGAAATCGATGTATAAATGATTCCTATATTGGGATGAGTATTAAATGATTCCTATTACTTGGGCATGAGTATGTGAAGTCATAAACCAAGTTCTTAATTGCGATATTGAGTTTAAGTTTAAGGAAAAATATACTTTTTCTGGGTGCAGCTAGCCTATTTCAGCGTACTTTAGTACCATGTTAAATCATTTTAAATAATTGGTATGGAAACAGATGTATGTATATATATTTATATTTTCAATACTCTTATGTTGGTTAGTGTTGGTTACTGCTTGATAGCAATATTTTTGCTAAATTAACGATTCAATTGAAAAACTCTTTAGCTATATCTAGAAGTGGTATTTTTATGTTAAGACGGAGAAATTTATGAAGCTTCAGTTATATGTTTAAGTTTCGAGTTGAGTTATCTAGTAGAAGTATTTACTAACTTGGAAGTTAATTGAAATATTAGTTATTAATAGTTAGTCTAGAACTTTAATAAATGTTTAATGTTTTAATGATATTTTATATAACTTAAGCAAAGAATTATGATAACATTCCTAGATTAGTGAAGGTATTTTAATTGTAAACTATGGCTTGATTGGCTGATATACTATTGGAGCGGATGGCGTGTTTGAGTTTGATCGATGCCCGACGGATGGGGTTGTGTTGTATTTGGATTGATAAAATTATAATAACACTCGTGTTATCTAAACAGGTGGATAGTTCCAAATTATAGGGAGGTTGCCTGCCGAAATTTCTGTTAGAACTTAAACTAAAGTTTTAATAATAACATTAATTTAAAAAGTTTATTTAGATAATTCTATAACCTAATGCATAATAAATAGCAGTGCTCTAATTATTTATTATTATCTTTATTATTTTCATTTAATTATTAAGTATTTAATTAAATTTTCATTGTTATGTTTATTATATCATTTATTTATGTTGGTGTTTATTTAGTTAGTATTTATCTTAATTATTTAATTGCATTTTGAGAGCTGGATGGTCTAATTTGTGCATTAGCATTACCGATGTCAACTGATCAATATGTCTGCATTTTGATTGCAATTTTGCCATTAATTTGTGTGTGAAAATGCTATGCTTTGTTTGTGTGGAATTGGGATGAAGTGCGGACCACCATGGCGTTTGTTGAGGACGTCCTGTTGATATGGATCCTGAATACGAATGATACTTGGACCGTCGGCCGGGAAAATGGAAGCATCGCGCCCCCTTGTGCACCTGCATGATATTAGATTATATTTCGGGGATTTAC